CTATTGAAATAAATATGAATACGCCACAATAAAAATTGACAAAAAAAATATATGGGATGAACCTGCCTTAAAAACTATGCAATGAATCTATTTTATGTATGGAATTAACAGAAACAACCCGCTGTCAAGCTTTAATTGCGGCGAATCAGCCGCACTTGATAGAAGTAGGTTGAATAAGGAATGGAGTAGCTCAGTGGTTAGCGCTTCTGACTTTGCACATCGATGACGCGGGTTCGATCCCTGCTGAAAGTCTAGGAAAAAAAAGAAGTCTGATGAGGAGATGTGGTGAATTCCCAAACAGCTGCTATAACTTCTACCGCTTAAGCAGTGTTGTTTTTTCCATTTTTCCTAACAAACAAATCGTGGTACAAAGCTCAATAACACTATTGAAATAAACCAATTTTTTTAAGAGATCGAGTCATGGGTAAAAAAGTAATTTCTCCGTTTTTCGAAGTTAGCCTCCGAAATCGAGATATGGGCCTTCGAAGTTCGAAATAGGATCTTTGGTAAAAAATTATTTTTTATTATTATATGTAGATAACTAAAAAACTAAAAATACAGTCGTAGACCGCCCTTTGCTCTTATTGAAATGGTTTATAAATTTTTTTTGCACACTTATATTACACGTAAGAGGGAAAGGTCGAGTCTTCCAAAAATTAAAAACCTTTTATTTCAAACAATTTTGAATTTTGAGTTGGTATCGTTGTAAACGTGATTAGACCCCCTTTTTCTCTTCTGATATGCATATTTGTATACTTTTTATGTAAAAATTTGAGAAAAAACATTTAAAAGGAAAAAAAATCTTTTTTATAAAAAAAAATATTTTAACAAAAAATTACTAATCGATTTTTAAAAAGTTGATATCGTTGTAAACGCAATCAAACCTTCTTTCTTCTGATATGCGTATTTGTATACTTCGTATATAAAAATCTGAGAAAAAACACTTAAAATGAAAAAAACCTTTTTTATAAAAAAAGGTTTTAAAAAAAATTATTAAAAGATTTTTAAAAATTTGGTAACGTTGTAAAGGCGCTTAAATATTCTTTATTCTGGTATGCATATTCGAATATTTTGTATATCGAAATTTTAGGAACAACACGTAAAAGCAAAAAATATCTTTTTTATAAAAAAAATATCTTTTTTATAAAAAAAAAATATTTTAAACAAAAAAATTACAAACCGAATTTATTAAATTGGTATCATTCTCAGGAACTTTATACTTTCTTAATCCGAAACATTTTTATTTATATACACAAAGAAAAAAAATTAATTAAAAACAATTTTTCCCTCTATATAAACTCCTGCCCCCTTAGGGTATACGCCCTTGTATACAAAAAATTAAAGTATTTAAACCGTACATCATACGGTCAGTTTGTTATTTTAGAGCGCAGACATGGATCCAAAATAACGATTACAGTATCTTCATTTATGTATATTGTAACTATCAATATCTTATAAAGAGAAGTGTAAAATTTTTTTATCTAAAACTAATAAAGTTAGGAGGACAACCTCGAAATGTCGGAAATTTCCCAGGATATTCAAGGATAAAGTTTTAAAAGAACATTTTCAATATTTATTCGTCCTGGTGCAACAAAAAATGAAATTTTATTTAATTCTACAGAATTTTTCCTTTTAACTGATACCCATATTGTTACTCTACAATGCACCAAATCTTTTAAATAATTTTTTTATTCAATCATATCCTAGAAATTTCAAATTCCTTTAAAAAAAATCCTGACGTCAGAGAGAAAAACTAAAAACGCAGTTTTACTATATTTGGCCCCAGTTTTGTGAATAGATTGATTTTTTCGTGTGTAAAATTGACTGTCGCACGGTGTTATTATCAGGGACGTGAACCAGATGAAAAATTTGTTTGGTTCGGTTCAGCGGGTTGAACCGTTTTTGCACTTTTGGACTGGTTCGTCAAAGCGGGTTGTTTGGTCTTTGAACTGGGGTTTCGGTTCGGTTCAATGGTTCGAAAAAGAAAAAAATTATACGCAAGTTTAAGTGTCAAATGTCAAGTGCAACAACGCGCAAGGTTAAGGGTCAAGTCTCTGTCAAATGAGATGGGTTGCCTTTACATTTGATATTGTCACATGGTAAACAAACATGATGGGTATTACCATGTTTACCAAAAAGAAAAAAAGTGGGTACATTTATCTATTGAAAATTGGTTGAAACGAACCTTTCAATCTTTATAGAAAGTGGTTCGGTTTTCGGTTCGGATCAAACATTTGTGGAAAATTTCGGTTTGGTTAATGGTTCAGTTAATTAATAGAAAAGAGCGGTTTTCCGGTTCAAAACCGGTTCACGTCCCTGGTTATTATAATAAATTTTAAATATTGTTTGCTTACATTTCGGTCAACCGCGCAAGTAATTATTAAAGAAGTATTGAATAAAAACAGCAAATTTTGTTTAATTTTAAATATGGTTTCAGAGAGTGCGTTATAAAGGCACAGGCAAAAACGCTTTAAAGAAATATGTGTTGAGTCAAATCGGCTTTTTGTTAACGCGGCTCTTGCGTAGGTATAAACAAGGTATCTGAAAGTTTTAATGGTAAAATACTGAAACTTGGTATGGCGATATATGAAATCAATTGCATACTCTTGAAGAAAATTTCGGACTATTGGAAAAGGTGGTGTGGCACCTCCCATACAAACCAAAATTTTCATACTACGTGTCTCTGGAAGTGTTCACGGTAGAGCACTGGAGCTTAGTGATATGTGAAATCAATCGCATACTCATGAAGAAAAATTGGAGCTATTGGCAAAGGGGTCATGGCACCTCCCATACAAACCGAATTTTTATACTGCCTATGTCTAAAAGTGTTCATGGTACAGTGCTGGAACTTCGTATGAAGATATGAATGTATATGAAATCAAGCCCATACTCATGGAGAAAAATGTGGCTATTTGAAAAGGGGGCGTGGGGCCTACAAACGTACCGACTTTTAGCTAATCCTTCTCAATGGGTGTCCGTATTTTAACGAAATTTTTTGTGTGTGTTTGAGTGGGTCTCTGGATGGTTTAGTTTCACAATTTAACCCGCCAGTTGGCGCTGTAGTTTAGTTATTACTAAAAATCTTATTTATGATCAGATTTGGCTAATATTTAAAATATGTATTGGGAATGGTAAGAGCAATACTGTTGCCCGCCAGGTGGCGCTGGAGTCGAGTTATTACTAAAAATAGCCAAGTGAGAAAAGGTGCCGTGAAAGTCAGATTAAATCGACATGTTGCATCATTGAATATATCGAACTCTCCTATGTTACGATTGGCCCAATGGATGTGATTTTCCAATATTATTATGCGTTTAAGCTTTTAAGGTATTTCGTCTGAAATAAGTATATGTATATTGCATTTCTGACTTTTGAGATTTTTTTGGTTGAAAGTGTTTTGCATTTTTTCCATATAAAGTATTTTCGATAAATTTTTTTTGTATGGAAGAGTGCGTGAAAAAAGGTTGCCAAAAATCAACGGTAATTCGTAGCTACTTAAAACTTCTACTTCATCACAATAAAATTGATTGGGCAACAAATCTGTATACTCAAAAACATTGAAAAAAAACTTATAAAAAAGTTGAAAGTTTGCATGAAAACTTGCTGAATTTTCGCGAGTTTTGCACAAAGTTTAGAAATTTATTTTTATGCTTTTTGTTGTAGAATGAACCACATTTGTATAAAATATTTTCCAAAAAATATTACAATAAAAATTATTGCATATTGCAGCTAAGCCAATACTTTTTGCCGGCAGTCTACTATATAGCTTTTCGGACAGATTCACTATAGAACCGGATCATTGTTGCCGCCAGGGAGTGAAGGGGAAAAAGCTCTTCAAATTTATTTCGTTTTGCGATTAACCGTGCTATGACACGTGTATGATTGCACAATTGAAGAATTTCAAGAACTTGTTTACGGACATAACACTTTAGCTAGTTTTAAATAAAAATGAATAAAAAATATATATATTGGAAAACATTTTGAATATCGTGAAAAAAACAAACAAGAAATACTTCTGTGAGTAACTGTATTTATAGTAGAAGATACTCACCACACTGCTTTAGTAGACCCAGGTTCTTCGCAGCCATACACGAGCATGTGATGCGCTGTGTTCATTGTAGCTTTTGGCTCGTAACCAACTGAAATTATTAGATATAAAATAAAGGCTTGTATCAATCAAAGTGTTCAGGTTCAAATGAATCATAAATTCAACTTTTTTCACGAAACTAACCGCCGGTTTCACCAGCAATTTAAATGGAAGTTTTTTATTTTCTATCAATTTCTATATAAAATTATAAAATATTAAAATAATTTTTTAGTTAAATTGCTTTTGTGAATTTGTCTGCAAGTAACGAAAATAAAGAATTTAAAATAATTTAATTCATATGTATGGCAAGAAAAATTTGTTTTTACATAAGTATTTACAGTGGCGGGCGACTAAAGCAGTTTTTGTTAATGACATGCATTTTCTGTTGGAGTGCTTTTTAAATGGAATAGTCGAGTCGTTGTGTTGACACCATATTCAAATCAGCTTCAATCAGAAGGTGAACTCAACGGTGTTTGATGCCATATTTTTCTGATGGTATTATTTCTCCGATTATGTAAGCTAAGATGTTGTATAGTATGGAGTGCGTCGTTTGAAATTAGTTAGTGCAGTGAAAAACTAATATATAGTACATATGTATCTCAGTACCTACTGATTCCATTTTATAATAATTGATTTGACTTTTTAAATAATTTAAAATAAATTTTTTTTAATCTTGAAACACGCAATATGACCGCCCAAATGGCTGATGCTCTATCTTTTGGTGATATTACCGACATCCAGTTTCCACCGGAAGTGGGTTAAACTGAAGTCCATTTTTTTAAATTAGACGTACATGTTTTTGCCATGGCTGCATACCACTCAAAACAACGGTGAGGTTCGGATCAGTGGTTTAAACACTGAGGGGAAAAATTTTAGAATTAAAAAAACGTGCTAAATTAAAAAAAATACGCATATGAAAGAGCACCAACTCAACTCGTTTTAAATTTGAGTATGTACGTTATAAAATATGTCGTTGTGAAGTGCACAGATGCTTTTTCGTAATTAAGAAGAAAAAAATTTTATTTTATGTTCCGCCGCCCTCTAATGGTAATTGAACCCGGACCCTCTTGACAGCAACCAAATGTATCAAGCGTCTTTGCATACTCAGCTACAGCCACGCATGTGAATGTGCTTTCAAATGTTGAATTTGAATCAACATCACAGCGCGCGATTAGTACATTTGTACAGATAAACATGTACCATATATGAGTGTATGTGTTGTCACCTGCATGCTGTGCATGCTTTTTATACATATACTTTCTTAATTACGTATGAAGAAGCATCCGAAACGTTCAAAACGCCATCCGTGCAGTGAAAAATGCTTCATTTTAATACGTGCGTATTTGAATTGAATATTTCCATTATACGTAGTGTATGTATAATGGAAAAATCCATTTTGTTAACACTTTTCACTTGATTTAAATACGAACATTTTTGAACGGTAATCAAATAAAATATTTTAATTTTTACAACGCGTTTTTTTCTCAGTGAACCACTTGGAAAAAGTTTGTACCGGTACAAGAACCGATTCATGAGTATTCCTGAACCGCGGTTCGGTTCGGTTCAAATGTTTAAATTTTTTTAATGCTAAAGGATACGTTACAAAAAACAGAAGTAGATTTTGACTTCGATTACAAAATTGTAAAACTCTGCGAATGTGGTAAGACTATTTGTATAAAAGCCTTTGTAGTAATATTGGAAATGTTTAAGATTAGTTTTCCAAGTTTTGAAATGTAAACATCTTTTCTGCTTTATGTTTAACCAGCTGAATTATCTGCCGTGACGTTACGTTACGAAAATTTTCATTTGTTAATATTGTTCTTGAAAGAATTTTTAACGGGAAGAAAACAACATTTCATATCGAACGTACTTTTTATTTTGACATCAGCGCTACCAGCGGTCTCATTTTTTGCAAATCTATGTCCTACTACGTTTCAACTAAACATGCCAATAGGTGAAACAAATGAGAGCATAAATACGGGTTTTCAAATTATCTCGACCCTGGCTCCACCTAACGAGACCAGTATATATTATAAAAAGTAGCCAAATCGGCCTATAAATAAGTTAGATGTATGACTTTTATTTTTTTTTACGCGGTAGACTTTTCGCTGGATTCGCTCATATAAACTTTTTAGCTCAGTGGTTTTAAAACTGTTAAGTTCAGCACGGTTTCTAACCATTGAACTTACAATACCTAGACTTCTGTGTTTCTCAAACGCTCATCTTTGCTACTATCGTACTAAAAGCTTACACTGTGAGTTTTTCTTGTACATACTAATTGTTTCTACTTCGCGCTGCAATGTATTTATCCTGCTGTTTTGAAAAATGTAACATTAAAAACGACTTAGAGCGTTGCGTTGTGTATTGGTTCTGTGATGACTTAGCTCACGTAAAATGTGCTGTAGTGCGATTCTGAATCTAATTTTAACCACACTTCACGTTGTCATCTCTAGTTAACAACTTTTTTTGGGGTTAAGTGATTGTGTATCAACTTTAACCATATTTGTCATTGTTTAGTGTTAACAAACGCAATCAGCTGTTTGGTGACAATTATTTTTGTGGTTAAGCTAACAGCATCTAGTTTTGCGTTGTTTAGCTGTTGTTTGCATATTTTGCTGTGAAGTTAAATTGAGAAAATTGTGAAAATCGTGTTAAAAAATGGCATTTGTATACATTGCATCATATTTATATGATAATGACAATGAGCAGAAATGCGTACAAGTGTTCGGTGTGTGTAGACGTGCTTTTAATTCGCTCTGTTATTTTATTATCTTTTCTTTCGTAATGGAGAACTTTTGCGGAAAATGTACCAAAGCCTTTTCAAGATCTGATGCTAATCTGCTGCCTTGTAATGGGTTTTGTAAAAAAACTTTTCATCGTGTTTGCTGCAAAGACGTTTCTGAATATGATTTCAATTTGGTTAAAACAAAACGTAATCTATTATATCTTTGTGATGAGTGTGTTGTCATGCCAGAGAAAATCGTTAAGGCTCTGGATGAAGTTCTGGTAACTCAATAGCTTAGTGTTGATCTTATTTCAAACACTTTTGATGCTAAATTCAAAGATGTATCGAAACAATTTGATGCAATAAAAGATCTAATAATCTCCTTGCATTCGACCAACAACAGCTCGAGTGCAAATAACCTTAACGCTGTGAATGCTGATATGATGGCTGCGGAATTCAATGCCAGAAAAACTGCTGCTAATATTTCTTAAAACAATAACTACTATTGTTCCTCGCCTGGTGTTTTTGAGCTTTCCGCTGTCCCTCATGCATTTAATTCGCCACGGGCACAGTTTGTCAGTAACGTTAACGGTATCTATCCCGCTCATTTGGATTCTGCTGTGACAATCGCTACAGCTGTCAATACACTTGTAACTAACGATAGCACATACACCTCTTTTACTGCGCCCACATCGCTGTCATCCGTTGCTCTTCAATCTACACCTGCTGTCTCTCTTAGCACTGCTTCTACTAGACCATCTTGCTCGTCGGTCGCTGATGCTGTTTTGTTGCCTAATACTAATATTAATACTAATACTAGTTCGCATGGCTCTAATACTGTGCGTCAAGTTGGTGGCCTCATGGATACAAATACTGTCGCAGATTGCACTGTCAATTTACCTGCTGTTACCACTACCACCACGAAGCCATCACACCGTGCACTGCTAATGCTGCTGTTGCTGCTAATACATCTTTACCCGATATGAGCTACGCTGCTGCTGCCGCTGCTGGCACTAATTCCGTGCAGTCGAATGGAAATCGCTCTGTTAGGTCTCCTGCCGGTGCTGTTGCGGAAATCAACACTGATGATTCTTATAATTCTGCTGCTGTTAAATCTTCATCTGTCAGGCCGACTGCTGTTAGTACAATACCAACCACAAGTGGGACGAATGTTACACAAGGCAAACATACATGAACGAAGTGCTGATAAATCTGATGATGCCATTGCAGCCGCTAATGAAGATCGTGGCGACTCTGCTGCTGCCCGAAATTTAAATAGGCCCAAACGCATAAACATTGTTCATGGGCGTAATAATAATACAGATCTCGAGGTGGTCATTAAGAAGAAATGGTTGCACATTTCCTCCTTTAAACCGTCTGTATCTGAGGAAAACCTTATTGCGTATGTATCTAAACATGCAAAGATCGATAGTACACACCTTACGTGCTACAAATTAGTAAAGAAAGGAACTCCACTTGAGAGTCTTCGGAGCGTGAACTTTAAGATTGGTGTGATATCTTCCCTCTACAACAACATCTTAAATCCAAATGTGTGGCCGTCTGATATCATTGTCCGGCCCTTTCGATTTTTTCAACCAGAAGCTAACCAAGGAAATTCCAAATAGTGTTATACAGTCTAATGCCGAATATACATGCAAAAATCTGAATATATACTTCCAGAATATGGGTGGAATGCGCACAAAAGCTAAAGAAGTCTTTCTTTGTTCTTCACGTATGGATTATGACATATATATCTTTGTGGAAACTTGGCTTAATAGTAATTTCTTCAGTGAAGAATACTTTGATCCCAACATTTTCCAGACTTATAGGAAAGACCGTGATGCTGAGAAAACTGGCCACTTCAAGGGGTGGTGTACTAATTGCTTTAAGGCGTAGTTTAAGGTCGTCATTTTTTGAATTGCTCAACCACGATACTTTAATTGACCAATTATGTGTGCGCGTTGTTGGCTCGTTCAGCTCTTTGTTTATCTGTGTATCATATGTCCCACCTAACAGTTCAGATGAGTTATATAACTATCACAAAGAGAATATCACACACATCTATGAAAGTAATGGAAATTGTAATCTTTGTATTCTTGGCGACTTCAATCTCCCTGGCATTAACTGGACATGCTTTCAAAACTCGGGGCGCCTTACCAACGTTACTCGTTCGGATGAAATAAACTTTATTGATAGTCTTTTTAGCCTTAATCTTACGCAAATTAATTGCATATTCAATAAGTTATCTAAATTATTAGATCTAGTGTTTGTAGACGAAAATTTGATATCTAATCTCTCTGAATGTAAGACTCTGATCTGTTATTCTG